CCCAACCCCAAACCCCAAACCCAAACCCAAACCCAACCCCAAACCCAAACCCAACCCCAACCCCAAACCCTATGGTCATAGTGATAGAGTTTGGCCAGTCAGTTTTTCTCCTAATGGTAATACATTAGGTTCAGGTAGTAAAGATAAGTCTATGTTCCGAAGGGATTTCATTACAGGAGAAAAAAAAATAATCAACGAAGAAGAGATGTAAAGATATTTTTGATAAATGAAGGATGGCCCTTTTAAATGTATTTATTTTTATATACAATTTAGTTATCCCAAATGCATTTTTTTAAAGATTAAGGAGCTCTTGTCCTTATGGGGGTGAGTTTATTAATTTTTAAGGCTTCAACTTCAGATAGTTATCAAAATATATGGTTTATTATTATTATTTTTTGTCATGATGTGTTGTTGTTTCTCCTTTTCGTTTTTCATTTAATAAAATTTTGTTTATTGGATAATATAACCGTAGAATATTTAATTCATTTTAATATCTTCTGATCATTCCAAAATATGATGTAATTTATCATCCAATTTATCTAATGTTTGTGAAAAATTGAATTTCTTTAACATTATAGATTATGGAATTGTATGGTTTACTTTTATTCTTCTTCTTAAATAAATTTTTGGCAATTTCTTAATTGTTAAAATTAATTGCACAATTAAACCAATAGATGAGTTTTTAAAGAGCTAAATATGATGAGGGATTGTTTTTTTAGTCTAGATATCAAATAATTTCGTTAAAATCGTCTTGAATGTTAAAATAATGATACATTAACTCAGGGATTTATAGCTGTTTATTATATATTTATAGATATTGAAAATATTATTGTTGAAAGTTGCCCCTTTGGATGTATGTAAGAATTTAAATAGAGTGTTAGTTTACCAGCATTTAAGATTATTAGATAAATCTTAATTCTTTTACGATATAATACTTTTTGATGATTAATGTATATTTTCAGTCTTTTTATTATATCTAGTACTTTTAATATCATTTTTAATAATTATAAAAAGTTATCGATAAATTACCTTGAATAATGAACTTTAGAAAAATCATTCAATCTCAATGTTTTAACTTTGTTATAGGTTGGATTATTTCCAACATTGACTTGATTTTATGTTAATTTTCGATGTATTGTTTTTCTTAACTTTGTTATTAATTGTATCTTTTCCTATTTATAAATTAAAAGTTAAATTTATCAAACTATTAATTGTAATTTTTAAGACTAATTACGCATATAAATAATCATAAATTAAGTAAATCTATCTTATAATATCCTAAATTATTTAAAAAGAAAGGAGTTTTGTTATTTTACATCATCTCCATTTAAATTAATTCCATTGATATTCGCATTCTTAAATTAAGATTTAGATAAATTGCATTTAGCAAAATTACCACCAAATAAATTATTATTTTCAATTCTTATATTTTCAAAATTTTAGTTTTTTAGATTCACCTTCATTTCAACCAATATATTGAGTGCATTAGATCCATTTATAATAAAATTTTTATCGATTTTTGTAAGATGAACTAAGAATTTCAAAAATTAGATTATTTTAACCTCTTATGATATTTTTTTAATTAGATATTATCTTGTTTCAGTATAAGTTTCAGTGGAATAATTAACAGAATTAATATCATGTATTTTAATGATTTTGATTAAAAGAGTAATTGAATTAATAGTCTATTCAAAAGCATCAATTTATTTTTGTTTTTCTAAAAGTGATTTGATTCCAATTTAATTATAATTCAATGAATATTTTTAATTGATATTTTTTAGAAACTCCAAGCAATCCTAATTTTGATTCACTTCTTATGATAATATTTCTACTATAATATTCAATATCCATATATCAAAATCTATTGATTTAACTAGCACTTCATATAAATCAGCTGCAATTAAAAACTCTTATATTGATTTATGGGGAAATTAAAAGTTAGCACTTGTCTAGGTGATTATTACAATCACCCTGTTTTTGAGTTTATAAAGCATTGGACATTCCTAATTAGCAATTTATTAGGGTTTTATTAAATGCAGTCCTACCTTGGTAATTGGTAGGCTCTTTTTTAACTCATTCCTTTAACACCATGAGGTAATGATTTTATTGTCGTAATACTACTATATAAAGGAAAATATTCAATTTATTAAGGACTTGTTACAAAATTCAAACAAGCACTTTGAAATAAAATTCATATTTTTATATGTATTCCATAAATTGAAATTTTTCTCATAATATATATAATGTTTATTTTAAATATTTGAAAATAAAAGTGCAAAATATTATTTCTTTGAGTATAACTTTAATTTTTTCCTCGTAATAACTTTCTATGAGTTTTCATCTTCATAGTTTGATGTCGCTAATTTTTTCTAATTTTATTGATACATTTGAATCAAATATTTACTTTTGTATAACTCTTTAAGCATATTTGGAAATTCTTAATAAAATTTTATTTAAGATTATTTATCGCAGTTGCTTTAACTATCATTTCTGGCAACACTTAAACTATAATTTCCATCATATATGGAGTTACCACCAATCGATCCAATTTGATCTACTTCATAATTTTGTTGTACTTTTAAACGCTCCATAGCTTTTGCAACTAAATTCTCAGACTTCTTAAAGTATCATGATTTTTTAAAGCTATAAACTCATCATTCTTCAAAAACAATAAAATATGGTCTATTTATTTTTAATTCAATAAAATTTCCCCTTTTAACCATTGCTCCCAAGAAATTCCAAACTTTTTGATATCAATTACTCCTCTATTTGAAATTTGTGTTTACCATTCATAAATTTCAAATACCAAAATTTTAACACTTTAAATAATAAAGAATAATTACTACTTGTAAAAATTTCACTTATTGTAGTAAAAATAACAAGGGGGTCTGACCAATTCGATTTAAGTTTATTGTTAATATACAAGTTTTTCTAAAGATTTTCCAACTTCATCTCATCTTAACTATCCATTATTAATAAGAATCTGAATTTTTTTTTTTCTAACAGCTCTTTGCATTCTTTCAATTAAAGCTCATCAAAACCATACTCATCTTGATGAAGTGTTTCCTCTACTGCTTAAAACACAGAATTTTTTAAAGAAGGTAAAGAAATATAAATAGGTATTAAGATTTCATTACCAGTTTTTTCATTAGTGTCATGTAATCTCCAAATAAATTCTTCTATTTTCTTAGCTGCAGTACTTTTCCCTGATCCAGCTACTCCATAGATTAATAATACTGTTTCTTTATCATCTAATAAAAACTCATTCACTTCTCCATTTTTATCATATAAATTTTCAAAACTCATCAAAATACTTTTCTTTTCCTCGTCTCCTTCTTCATCTCTTTCTATATATCCTTCTTCATGTTCTTCCTCATCTTCTTTTAAATATCCTTCCTCATCTCCTTCTTCATGTCCTTCTTTATCCCCTTCTTCAAGTCCTTCTTTATCCACTTCTTCCTCATGTCCTTCTACCTAACCTTCCTTATCTTCTTCCTAATGTCTTTCTTTATCTCCTTCTAAATTTTCTACTTCCTAATGTCCTTCTTTATATACTTCTAAACCATTTAATTGGAATCTCTTTTCATGTTTCTCAAATTTATGAAATATCTCCAAAGTTTTTAACTGCACATATATAGACCTAACATTTTTATTTGCTGCTTCTTTCAATACTTTCCGTTTTCTAATATAAAAAAGCTCTTCAACTGTTTTTCCACGAAGAAATTTTATGTCATTACCCAAGCTATTTAGTTATTTCTTCATCTCATTTATTTTTCCCTCAACTCTTATCAAACCCTTTCTGATATGATTAAGGAAGTCGGTTATCAATTTAAGTTATTATCCCATTTCACTGATATTTTGAACATATTCATCTAAGTGCTCAGTTGTTTTATCCATTTCTTTCAGTTGTTCTTCGCGTTTGTTGAGATTAGCCTCACAAGAAATTTATTCTTACAGTTCATCAATTCTCTTCAGCATTTTTTACATTTCTCCTGCAATTCTATCATGTTAAGTCTTCCAATCTTTTGACAAAATTTACATCTATAAACTTAATAAGTGTTAATTTTTTAATAAATTTCTAACGCTTTAATCTTTTTCTAAAACCCAAAGTTAAATTAGAGTTTTTTAACAAAATCGAGTAGTTGTTTCTGTGAAGCTATTAAATGAAATCTAAATAATCGTTAATACTAAACCCTATTTAATTTTCCATTCATCGTTTTATTATTAATCAATAATTAATCCTATTGATTAGATTTAACTTCACATATCTAATAATTTTCTTGTAGGTATATTTTTTTAGTTAATTGAATTAAATATTTTTGATCAAATGAAATTTCCTAGAATTCCTACTTAGACACTATGAGCTTTTCTTTTGTTTCAGCCATTAACTTATAGAGAAAATCAACTATATTTGTTGGTTAATTATCTAATTAATTTCACTCTACAATCTGTTGATCTAAATTCTTAAAAAGTATTCTTTAATCGATTCTGTTTACTTAAGGAGTTTTATATGTTTTTCAAAACAATTTGAAAAACTTTTATACATTTCTTAGTAATGCTCTTGTATAAAATCATGGCTACAAATAAAATTTTTGACATCTTCAAGGAATTCGGCCAATTTTTGCTTCTCTTTTTTTTTTTTTTTAATAATAATAATAAAAGAATATTAATAATGAAGGATAAATTTGTTCTATTTTAATTTTGGAATGTATTGAGTTCTTGAGTATTCTAATCATCTCTATTATTCTTATCCATATTTTGTTTTAAATTAATCAAATTGCTCTTTTAAATCACTGACTATTTAATGGTTGGCATTTGAAAAATTTCAAGATTTTGATTTATGGAAGCTTACAATAATTTAAAAACTTTTTCGATTTAATGGATTTGTACTTTAAGTTATTCTACTAGTACACAATTTTCATTTTAGTTAATTTTTTTTAATTATTAAAATAAAATCAAATACTTTCATTATTCAATTAGTTATGATTAAGATTTTCATTATTGATAATGTTTAATGAAAATTCTATTGAAAAAACTTTTATAATTTTCATAATTCTTTCAGTAAGAGTTAAAGGATCGGTTTCTTCAATTAATTATTCTCCAAATTCCTTTTCAATTATTTCTAAATCTACTCTTTCCAAGTTAATCATTTATTCTTCTAGAGTTAATTTAAATAAAAGATGCTCTAAAATTCCTTTTTATTTTATTAAATTATTTTTACAGTCTTGTTCAGTAATTTATAAGTTACTTAATTCTGCAATAGTTTATTCATAAAAT